GAAATCATTTATTTATATAAAACATGTGCATAAACTGTACATACATGAATTGTTTTAAGTTAATTGGATACTGTATACCCATTTCTGCAGCTAGTTATTTATGCATTCCATTATATTTTCTAATTTTTCATATCACATGACCGTTTGGACACAAGCATCACCATCTATCACGACATCTGACATCTTTATACAATAAAACTCTGAAAATGCAGCAACCAGCTCCGTATTGGAATTATGTTATTTAAGCGCACTCTAAATAAATAAAGAATAATTTTGCTTATTATTAGCAAAAAAAAAGGTGATGCAGACAAGCTGCTGTAATGAGAATGCATTATTGTTTTGGTTTTTTTAACTTTTCAAATGCATGTGATGTATGCATGAACAGGGGGCGGGGGAGTGTTTACTGGACTGACCTTCGAGCTTCAGGTGCTGCACAGCGCTTTCAGGCAGCGAATGGAAGGAGTTCCCAGGGAAGTAACCAGACGGATAAAACACATGAGACTTCCTCTGCTTCAGGATATGTTGCAGCAGCTCGTACAGGACATCCCCTGCAGAGATGCAAAGGTCAGAGGTTACCATGCGTCTCCTGGTAGCCGTTTTACGCCTGCATAATAGGTGAAATTAGCATTGGCATCACACACTCAAGTTCCACTTCTTCTTCTCCTCCCTGCTTTCCAGGCAGTGTGGAACTTGAGCAATAATGGAATAAATTTAGAGAGGTGCTTCTACGATACAGCAGCCTAGCACTTTGTTTGTTCCTAGAAAAACGTTTTCCTCGATATTCAACACCTTACCCCGATGACCCAGAGGGTATAGAATTGTAAGTTCCCTATCGGGTGACCCTACCCAGTCAGTTTCCTCTTACATTTTTGCTTCCACAGAGCAGATAAAACATTGCAATGCAGTTATTAGCTTAGTCAAAAGAGAAGTTTCACAAGAGAAACTCTCTGGGAGCAGTTTGGATTTGTTAAACGAGAAAATGCGCTCGACAAATCCAAATACCTACAGTGCATAAAGCGTCAGGACATCTAGGAGATAACGACAACTACCGCATGTGTTGACAAAAGTAAATGAGCCATGAGTCTATATGACCCCGGTGTCCTCCTTTAAGTGGTTATATTGCAGTGGCGACACCAGGCGCAAAGCTCGAGCAGGAAGTTCGCTGAATGATTTACAGCTGTTTTTCGTGCCCGAACACCGACGGCAACAGCTCCGCTCCCAAAATATTTACACTGTTAACAAATGAGCACAGGTACAGTGGATGTGATTCTAGCAGAGGACTGCCTTCACACACACTTTGTGAACGAGGAAATGATTCTCATAAAGGAAGTGATGGCGAACACGCACACACACCCCTTTCAGTTCTCACTTTCTGGTTCTGTGGCACCGACTGACACCGTGGGGAAAATTCCTGCTTCCTGGTGTTTGCTTTGATTCTGTATTTAATATGCTGCTTTAAAACCACAGCTCTGAAAACTACAAACTGTACACGATGAATGACAAATACCAGCAAACTAAAGAAACTGTGTTAGGGGTAAGTGATGACATTTTCCAACTGGTACCATTACAACTGGTGATTGCACATATTTCTGCAGAGATGTGCAGGAAATCGCCTATTTGTGGTGTAAACTGCATAAAAGGCAGTTCATGAAACCATTAAAATAACAAAATCATCCCAAAAAGCCAACTAGAAATTGCCCAACTGTCTTTGCCATCTTACATTGGAATCCTGGAGCGCTAACTTTACTGTTTCAGGTTTCCCAATCGGTGTTTTCAAGTCCAAACATGTCACTGCAATGGTAACAGGTTATGACATTCCAGGGAAAAAACTCAGGCTATTATTTTAATGTTCTATTCTTAGAGCGTCTACAAAAGAGAAATACGCAGCGAGCAGGGCCTGATGGGAACAGCACCCTTATAGTCACGCGAAGGAGGAAATGGATACTTCACTAGCCAAAAAATGTGCTCTGTTCCCTAAACTGACGTTTACAGTGAGAGCACGACTGAACAACCACTTGTACAGAAATATGATCAGTCTTATCGCTCTGTGTGTGTGTGTGTGTGTGTGTGTAGCTCCTGAAACCATCCAACACCACGACCACAGCGTCGCATAAGAAAAGGAAGAAAAAAATGCAAAACCTGTAATGATGATGAATCTTATTTTCCACGTATTTCCCAGACCTCGATTTCTCGACAGGATGTGAACATTTTGCATAGAGCTGAAACATCCTGATACGAGCCCGACAGCAGCTGTCAGCTGGTTCTCATCCCTCTATAACCAGAGCCACTGACAACATTCAGTATCCTTTAAAAGGAAAAGGGGGATGTATATATTCTGAACAGAGCAACTTAATCCAGCTTATTTAGACGTGACTCAGCTGATCAATGCTATAATTTATACAGAGTGGACCAAACCCACTGATATACAGATCCCCAAAAAGCCCAAGGGAAAGAAAAAATGCAGAAAAAGAACAAACTAAATTAAAATTAATAAAGAAATCTTTTATATTTGTCCACATAAATAACCTAATTAAATATTTATTAATGTAACGAATGAATTACTTTTAATATTATCCACAATATCTTTTGCATTGCCTGCCTGCTCATCATCCTGACCCAAATCACACATCCCGTCCTTCATCCTCGAGCGATTGAGTAAAATTTCCAACTCTGTCAGGGGAAAACACTTACTGTTGTTTTATTTTTATGCGCCTGGCCGCTGGCGTTGCCGGGGTGACAGTTGAGGTTGCCTTGTACTTCCTGATCAACCGTCTCCTACTTCCTCCCCCTCCAGCAGCTTTGCTGTAACAGCTGCCTCCCTCCACTGTCACCTCGCCCTGCTACCATTCATCCCCTGCACCAGCTGACTTTATTCCTCCGCCAACACGAGAGCCTTGTTTGTCTGCGTGTTTGTCGCCGGGATTACGCAAAAACTAGCAGGCTGAATTTCGTGAAACTTGGAGGAGATGTGGAGCAACAATAGGGCATCGACCTTGGCAGAGGACGTGCTCTCAAAGCGTCCTCTTAGGTGATTTTCTTAAAAGGATGTAATGATCTACGCAGTAGCATCACTTTTCATATATAATTATCTTTAATGCCGGTTTGACTGGCAAACCAGGGTCAGTCGAGCCAAACGCTGCAAAACTACACTTCAGCATGTTCATCGACTACTTGTTTGTAGCCATTTTTCCTATTTTGTGTCTAACAAAAGCATAGTCTCATGTTTTTCTGCACACAGTCCAGCGTTTCCATCGTCTAAGATCGCTCTTTCTTCCCAATCCCTGTTTCCAGAGTGAGTCCTGCTCTAGTTGGAGCACACAAATCTAATGGAATCTATCTAAGTGACTCATTTGTTAAACATTTCACTGATGTTTCCAGTTTTCCGAGCTTAGACTGCACCTCAAAACGGAAAAAAAAATAGAAAGAGAGGTACCAGAGGGAGGGGATCGGTAGCGGAAGTCCTCCTTGGTAAGCAGCAGCAGGGCTTTGCCATTCATCTGGAAAGAACCGCTGGTGATCGGGCGCAGGGCAAACTCCTTCTCAGCCCATCGTAGCCACTGGGCCACGTCGTCCCTGCTCCAAAAGACTGGCTGCAGACCTGGAGGTGGAAAGAAAAAGAAAGGCTTAGGTAAAGAAGAAATAAAATGGAGGTGAAGAAAACAAAGATGAGTTCAGTGAAGAAGCAGCATAAGGATGTGGGTGGTGATGGTGCTGGTGCTGGTGGTGGTGAGGGTGGGGGGAAGAGAGTAGGAAAGGCAGGAAGGAAAGGAGGGGGGAAGGGGAGACAGGGTTAGGGAGGAAAGGAGGAGGGGAAGGAGGGGGATAGGAAGGAAGGAGGCAGAGGCACTAAAAAGGATATTGAGGAAGTGGAGATAAAAGCCAAAAGGAGGGAGCGATTACGGGAACGGCAGCAGAGATAAAGAAAAAAAGATGAAGGAGGAGACCATCAGAAAGGGAGAGGAGGTTAGAATAAAAGATTAGAAGATGATAGGTTAAGGGGGAGAATACAGAATGACTCAGGGATGGGAAAAAGGTAGGAAGGGAAGAGCAGAAAGACTGTCAGACTTATTTTATTTGATCTGTTCTGATCTGTCCTGCTCTTTGCTCTCTGAACTCCACACAGGCACATCAGAGGACACAGTTTATTAGTTTGTGTATAAAAGGACAAGGGCACATGGAGGGAAAAGAGCAGGCGAAACAGGAACGGCAGTATCTGTTTTTTTTCCTCCTCGCTTACAAATGTTTCTTTCACTGCTGGGGGAAGAGGAGTAAAACATCTGCATCTTTACCGATGAAGAAAGATGAGAGAAGACTGCAAAAATGTAAAATATCTGACCGAAAGCTCGGCCTCACTTGAAAGCCGTACAGAGTTATTTGATTTTTAACATCATAACTGCTGCAGAGGTAGCGCTAACTTTACTGGAGCTAAACATCTGCTGAGAGCTTTTCTTGTGGTTGAAACTTAGTCTTTAGATTGCTAAACAAAGAATCCCGGTGAAAATATAAGTGAGACTATAAAGAAAGGATGAATATTTCTGTAGTTTGTGATGTTGTAGGACTTACTTCGCTTACCTAGAATGCAATACAGATGTATGCTTCCAGCTACAAGCAGAAACTACCATCGCTAAATTCAAAGCTAAGGATGATACATTAACTAAAAGCATAGCGATCTTCAAAAAGCTCAAGAAGAGACTGAATTAAAAAGCAAACAGCCTCTTGCTTAAATGTTTTCATTAA